AATCAATCGTCGTTATACACTCGCATATGAGCAATTTTTTCTTTGAAAAGTACATCAGACATACCGGATGTAATCGGGTTTCCAATCGACAGTGTAAACATGAAAGTCTTGGGTGGTGTCAAATGCGAGTGAATGGTGCATACCGTTTGTAAAATTCAAGGTGCCATTCCAATAGTAATTCGACTGTACCTCGTTGCGATTCAGGCCGACCCATTCATAATCAATTTCATCACCATAGGTTTCAATGGTCTGCACATAAAGAGAAAGTGAATTTTAACGCACGATTTCAGTGTGAAACAGATTGTAGGGTGTTATCGTTCTTACGTTATTCGATATGACGAACGAGGAGACGACGCCTAACGATGTAGATCCGGTCTTGATACGTGCCGAGACGACTCCATATTGCATCCACCTTTAGATTGTCACGTTATGGGAAAATGGTGATTAGATGAAGAAGAAAAACAATTGATTGCAGTGACGGCACTCACCGAGTTGTACTGACGGTGGTACCGAATCCCTGGTAGTTCCCGTAAGAATTTTTTTTACTTGTATCCAACTTCAAGTTTAATAAAATATTTTTACCGTCCGTTCCCGAATAGTCGGGCGTAAAGTCGGATGTCCAATCGGCTTCAAACGGATTGCCAGAGAAATTATTGATGTTTACGATTTTTAGATTTGTAAAATCATCGTAGTAGTTGATGCACTGCGGTTTGGGGTAACATGAATTCGTGCTAAATGAATTCGCTGGATCACATCCTGGTCAAATTGGGAAATGAATGTCAAATTAAATTAGATTATGTAATTATGTTTGGTTTAACTTAACCAATTATAACCTAATCCCGATCAGTGTTTGCAGATGAAATGACTTACCGCTTTTGTCCGAAGAATTAATTTTTCGTCATCCCAAAGAGAATTAGTGATAGGTTCTGTTTAGTAACAAGGAATATGATGTGTTAAAATAGAATGAAGGTACTCACGTTGAGCAGAATCTTTTTTTTCGTTCCAAGAAATGAAGCAGAAAAAAGAAAGAAAGAAAGAAAAACGAATAACAGAGTTAACAAAATGTTAATTGTAACGAAGTTCGATAAAATAATAAATCAAAATCAAAATCATTCATTACTTTGGGTCATTTGAACACCATCCGTCATTGCAGCATGGCGCTGACTCCGGACAGGTGGCGTTGTAGTGTTGACAGACGGAATTGACGTGAACGGACAGCAGAATTATTCCTAGTAAAGCGGATAAGATTCCCTGAGGGGATGGGGAATGAATGAATGAGTTTAATTGGCATGTGTCCAAAGTTGAATTCTAGTGCGCCGGAATTGAATTGTGCGTTGACAATACAGCGTGCATGCTATCATACCTCATAGAATTTCATATTGATGGTGGTGGCGGTGGTGGTGGGAAGAGGATGTTTCGAAGATGTCTTGGTGGAGAGGTTTACCAAAGGTGTAAATTAATGGCAGGGTGGGAGGAAGAAGGATAAAAATCCAAAGAGAAAAAGAATTATAAATCGTGTTGCATCCACCACACGCTAAGAGAGAGGGAGGGGAGGGAAGGAAGGAAAGGTGTATGGAAAACGGAGAAAATGAGTAAGAACAAAAGAAATGGTCGAGTATGAAAAAATGGGAATGACATTTGTCATTTATTTGATTCCACAAAATTGTGTGTATTACCCTAATCGTCTTCACATCAGGATTGGGATTGACTCGATTTACGTTGCACATCTCTGAAAATTGTGTGCTCGTGTCGCGTGCCCTTGGAGGGTTTAACTGGATAAATTTAATTTTCTACTGTGCATCTGTGCGCCGAACCAATCAATATATTTTTAATTTTCCAATTTTACACGAATATCATTCATTTCAGGCATACATATGTATAGGCATACAATATTTCAGCATGTAACCATATGCACGCATATTTCATCGCCAAGAAATAGCACACATGCCGCCTCATGCTTTTCTACCAGTAACAATATTTAGCGAAACCAATGGGTGCCTTTTATGTACAAGTGGTTCTGATGATTGTGCGCACGTACTGCACATACAAACCACCTTATCACTCAAAGATGCGCTGTAAGTTCGTTGATAGAATTCAATGCATTATACACACACCATGACTATAACAAAGGTGACTAAAGACGTTCTCGCTCTGTAAAAAAAAAAAAAAAGAGATTCTGCTGTCGTAAGAACTATTCAACTTAGAGGGTCGTTCTAAGACAGGACTACACACGAGAGCTTGGTGTGCCTTTGACTCGCAATCACGAGATCCAATGACCTATCCCCTTTGCAGTCACATTGTACCATTACAATCTAACTTTGGCTCGACTAATAGTGCCAATCGTTATTGCATATTATCCGCTACCTAATCACGTATGGGCTGACCGGATAGCTCATACGTTATTAGTGTCTTTTATTAGAAAAAGTTTATTTTTAACCAATGCATCGTGAGAAGCACGGCACAGGTGAAGAATATCCGTCAGATCAGCGATCCGGAGTTCTCGTCGACCTCACCTATCTATAAAAAGAAAACTTTTTTTTTTTTTTGAAAAATAGTCTCTTCCTTCGATAATCATAAAAGTTAATTATGTACAGTAGTCAATTAACTTTGTAACGTTCCCATATTAGAAAGAAATTGCTTATAACCAACAAATATTATAAATAATTTATTGTTACTATTCTACTATCATTTTTCGAGAGTATGATGAGATTTAAGATTATTCTGGCATTAAAATGGTTTGTGGTTCAGTTCAGCGCTAAAGGAAAATAATTTTCAACCATTAAAAATTTAAAAATCAAAATGTTTCTTTTGCATATTTGCGATACACGCACACACCAATAATGCATCACTATATAACATAAACGCTGTAGTCTGATTTACTGTATAAATGTTCTTTCTTGTAAATATCAATCTATTCTAATTATAATTGCAATTACTGTACATGATTATCAAAGAAAATTCCGTATAAAAATCATCTTTAATTAATAACATATATACAGTATTCTACTGTGTATACTGTATTTTCTAAAAAAAATTTTCTCTCAACCATTTTTTTTACTTTGCTGTATTTTATTTTATTTTATTTTATTTATTTTGTATATAATTCACAGCCTGACCAAATTGTGAATTTACTAATCAATTGAATCCGTAAATATACTGTATATTCATTCAACCAAATTATTGCTGAATTTGATTAAATTTACTAATAATAATAACATTGATAAATCTTGTTTAATTGCTACCATTTAGTATATAAAATATCAATAATATTTTAGCAAAAGATTAGCAAAATCAAATTTAACAATAAATCAATATCACATTAGATATGCCGCAGTAAAAATTTATCATTGGATTTGATAAAAAATTTGAATACTATAACAAAAATTCAATAAAAAATTACTAATTTAGTATACGTACAGTAAATATTAATGCTATATCAAAAATTTATATAGATATAATAATAAATTAACAAAAAAATTTCGCATAATTAATTTTAAATATTTAGAAAATTAATAATTTTTATCAATTTTAAAAAATTTATTATAAAATTACAAAATCACTTAACTAATCTATTTATTATTTTTTCTCTTTCTTCCCTTTTTCTTTCTTCTCTTTTTCTTTCTTCTCTTTTTCATTTTTTCTTTTATAAATTTTGACTTGTCTCTTTTAAAACTTGCTTTAATTGATTTTACTTCATCAAATTTTGTGCACTTTTTCTTTTAACTTTTTAATTGTTTTAAATTTTATTTATTTATGCACTCTTTTTAATTTAATATTTTTTATTCTTTAAATATATTAATAATTTTTTTTATATTTGTTAATATTTCATCTTTTAAATTTTATTATTAATACTTTACTTTTTTTTGTTTCTTTTTTTTCCTACAATATATATTTTAAAATCTCTTTTAAACCATATAATCAATTCAATAAATCTTTTGATAATATTTATACTTTAATAATAGAAATTATTATAATATTATTTATAAATTGATTAGAATGCTTAAGTTAATTTCAATATTTATTTAAATATTTTAATAAATTCTTTATTTATTTAATTAATATTATAATTATTTGATATAAAATATTTTATTAAAATATCAACTATAATTATATACTGTATATATTTTTTTAAAAAAATTTTTTAAATCAATCTCATTTTTTTTTATGTAATTTTTGTTTTTTAATTACAGTATATTTGTTAATTGACCTTTCTAATAAAGTACTATCCTATATACAATAACTATAAAATTGAAGTTTGAGTTCTTATGCTTATATAATTATTAAAAAAAAATGTGCATCAAAGTTATGTCACAATTGCATCATGATTTCAATATAAGGTGATATGATATAATACATTAAATTTCAAACATCAATTACATAATTATCAATTAAATATATGATTAAATTAAATCTATATTTAAAATTAATTAATTATATAATAATATAATAAAATTTAATAATAAACTTTTCTACTAAAAGCACTAGAGAACAACTCTTTCCGCTGATTCTTTGACCACATACAAAAAAGATGTTTGCAAGAAGTTTTATACTTCTTTGCTAATAAAGTCTTTACACTTTCATTAAAACAACTTGAAGCTTGTTTTAATGTAACTCCTTTACCTTCCCTTACTTGTTTATAAACTCCTTTGAATAAAAACTTGAGCCTCTAGTGGCTTGAAAAGACTCAAGTACGCACTTCCTCTACTAAGGGCAAGAAGATTCTAGGAAGTAAAAGGACTGACAAGTGGAATGTCACCTTACAGAGCTAGAAGTGTCAAAAAATAGAAGTTTTGTTGACAGAAAAAGGCTTATTATCCACCTTCTCACATACTATCTTATACCCTCTTAAAGTGTCTATCATCTTTCATGATTTTCTTGAGGGATTTTGCCTACCTCAGTTTGACCCTGAATTTCTAATAGCACAATATCACCTGGTATCTAATTGATTGACATGAAACATGTTAGTAACTGAATATAAACAAGCTCCTATTGGTCACCTCACGTGTTCTGATGACATCATTGATGATAGAAAGAGTTGATTGGTACTCCATGTTCATCCCACTTCTCCAATTGAGTTAACCTACAGATCAAGTATCATAAGGCCAATAAGATACGAGCAATAAGTCACCAGGTGATAAAAAAGCTGCTATTTGTTCAAACTGAGATCTTTCTCTCCTATCATTCCGGTCAGGCAAAGTTCAAGATTAAGATCTCCTTTTTATCCCGGTCAAGCAATAAGACTGAATGATCTCTAGTCCATACTAAGCTTCAACCTTTTGATTACAGTTGAAAATATATTTCCTCAGAAGTTGTTGAAGGATATCGCAATTGACGAGGATCCCTGCCACTTTGCAAACTCTCCTACCATTACAAGGCAAAAGAATTGTTGGGAAATCTGACCTTTTGAGTAATAAAAGATGTATACCTGTAAAATTCCTTTAATTAGGCATGGTTACTGGAAGGTATCATACTGAAACAATATGACCTAGTCCCTACTAGATCACATAAGAACCTGAGGTCCATCATAAGTCATTTGCTTACCATAGATAGATAAAAAATTACTGCCTAAAGAAGATTGGGACAAAGTGTATCCTGGAAGTAAAGGCTCCCACTAGGTGATAAGTCTCCTCAGACGGTACATAAGAAGAAAATCAAGATCAAGAATGTATAAGTTCCTCAGACAATTAGAAAAAGAAAGGATATTCCAATTGAGTATTTCTTATTGAGAAGAGGTCTTGAGAAGCAGGTCTTTGAAGTAAGCTGGAAATATTTTTTTTACTTTTTTACTTTTTCATTTTCTTTTTGTCTACTTAGACATTTTTAGATATCCTCCTTCCCTTTTTTCCAACTTATCCTTTTGTAATTTCCTATAATCCAGTGGCTTGACCAGACATATGACAGTGACAACCTGCTGGCAATGATACAGTGGACTAGGAGGGTCTTCACCCAAAGACACTGCAGAGCAAAATATTGTCCCAAGGTCAAACTTAGAGACTTTTATACTTACAATAAGTTAGTTATATTAGAATAATAGTTTAGCTGTAGTATATATTATACTGCTCGAATGAAAATGTACTTTTATCTTCATTTGATTAATAAACTGACAAACTAGCCTGACTACGGGTACTCAAAAAAAAAAATAATAATAAACTTTTTCTACGGATTCTCTAATTACACACAAAAAAAATATTCACAAAAAGTTTTTACATTTTCTTGCTAATAAATTCTTAACACTTTCTTTAAAACAACTTGAAGTATGACTTCAAGAGTCACTTCTATTCTTTTCCTATTATCTACAAACCTTTTTATTCAAAAATTTAACTTCTAGTGATCAAAAAAAATTAAGTAATACCTTTGATACCAATGACCAAAAAGTTTTCAAAGAAATAAAAACTGACTAAAGTACCTGAAAATTTTTCTAACCTTTGAAATAAGAGGCTTATAGAGGTTTTCTGCAACAAAAAGGCTTGTTTTCTCCCTTTTTGACTGTCGTGACCCTTTTAGAGCTCCTATGTTTATGATTTTCTGGAAAATTTTGCCTACCTTAATTTGATCCTAAATTTTGGATAATATAAATCCTCACCAAAGGTAATTGGTTGATATAAAACACATCAGTTTTTAAAATGTAAACAAGCTTCTATTGATCACATTTATATATCTCAATACATTATTAATGACATAGAAAAGAAAGTTCTAGAAAAAGTGTCCCTCCAATTATATATGGTCAACCTTTAGGAAACAATTATGATACTGAAAGATAAGTGTTGAATAGGAATAAAAGATCCAATTTCCATCTTTCATTAATTTCCTCAAGTGATAAAAAGGCTTTCTTGAACAAAAACTAAGGTCTCTAAGCTTCTATTCCAATCAGACAAAGTTCTTGAAAGATTTCTTTATCTCAATTAAGCAAACTCTTCCATAATATAATGCTGGTTCCAGTAATGTTAAGCAAATTCATACATCGATAGAAGGATAAGTTTCTCAAATATTCTTCTTAAAATCACTTTTAGGTATGGTTAATTTCCTCAAACATTATAAAACTTAGAAAATATTCGAATCAGGCAAATCTCTTTTGAGAAAAAACTATAAAATGAAACAAGAACCTTTTGAAGAGCTTTGAATTGTATTTTCTTTCTTCTTTTTTTCTAGTGCTAACTTAAGCAATTCATTATTTTTCAGAATAATCAATAATGATAAACTGTTGGCAATGACCTTGGTTGACTTAAAAGCTTTATATCAAGTTATTAAAAGAACATAATATTGTCTCCTAAATCTGACTTAGAGTATCTAATTTAGACTTAGTTTTGTTTAATCCAAACTAGCTTAGTGGACTTCTCATATTTTTTAAGTAGTATAGTTCTTTAACTAATAATGTACAATGACAAGTTAGTCATTT